ACAGTCATGAAAAACTCAGATATATTTCCAGAAGGTATGGAACAAAACACTTCCAGGAGAGAAAATGGAGTATTAAAGCTGCTATATAAAGTTCTGGAGAAACAAGATATGGATTGATGGGCATCATTCTGGTCATACAGGCCGAAGAAGGGTGAATCCACACTTGCAGAAGTGCACAGACAGCCGCATTGATGTCTGGGGAGCAGAAATTTCCCCTGTGGCACTGCAGCCACCACCATCCTGCTATGTGGGACTGTGGCAAGACACTTGCACTCCTTTCACTGGTGCAGTGATCTTCTTATCCTGAAAGGAACTGTGTAGCTCAGCCTAGAAGGATGAGGGTGGCTCTCTTAGAAATACATCTAAGGATAAGAACAGGGCAATTAAAATTCCAATCTAAACCTGTCAGAGGGCATACTGAGTCAGGAGTCAAAAAAAGGGCATAAGGTCTCAACCATGGAGGGGTGGAGGGGTCAAAACAGACCCACCAAGATCAGCTGTAGCAAGGCACTTTCAATTTCAACAGGTTTGCAGGGAGGACAGCATGGTATGGCTGCCTGAACTTCTTCCACCTGGAAGTTTCTTTCCAAATTCTACTGTCTCCCATCACTACTAACAAGAAAAAATTGCAACATTAGACTTATAATTTTGGGGATAACTTCAGAGATTTCCTGTTGGCCTGAGCTGCTGTGAAGGATCATGCTCCACAGCTGGTTGAGCATCTGTGAGCCAAGCCATGGGACGATTGGAAAGCCCCTGACAAAACTCATCTGCACTGCTGGGAGTGAGGTGCAATTGCAGAGCCATGCCATGACTAGGAGGTCATTCACTCCTCTTTGATGAATAGAAGGACCATGAAATTGGGAGAAATGTTGACCAGGTGCTTTTAGTTCAGGTGAAGCTGAAGCTGAGCCAACTCAGAGGAGCTAAGACCAAGGATTCTGGCAGGCTTGGTGCATAATATGACTCCCTTGATTGTAATGAAAATCATATATGCAGCACAGAACTAGGCAAAAATGAAACTTTGCACTGAATTGATTCAGTCTTGTGTTTCTGTGAACAAGTCTGGATCATTCTCAGAGTATTTTTGGTGTCCCTTAGGGAAGGTGCACCTGTGATTACAGAGAACTTGAGGAGAGGGAAGAAGCAAGATTTATATGCTGCACAGAGGGCCAGAGCTTGGGCTCCCACACAAGAAGGTCCCAGTGGCACAGCTGAGCATCTGCAGTCCCTGTAAAACTGATTGGACTTGCAATCCTTGGCTTTGTGTTCATGCCTGACTCATCTGCAGCAGCTCATTGGAGAGTGCTGTTCCCATGTTCCCATCGTTTCATTCCCACTGCATCCCCATATGCCAAAAAATGTGACACAAAACTCTTGCTGTGATAGAAGAAAAGTTCATGTTCACTCTGAGAACCAGGGGATTCATTGTGAGACATGGGAGGTTCATCAGGACACAGCAAGAAGGGCCACTGCAGGAAGACAAGGAGCTGCTGAGAAGCCCTTGGTCTTTGATTCTCTCTGATGAATTTGTATAGAGTGTGTGTAGTCCTGCTGCATGGGGAATTGCTGTGGGACTTCTGCAATTCCTGCAGTGGAAAGCAGGTTTGGCTCATGAGCTGCAGGCAGGGGACACACCAACAGCTAAACTCCATAGAAGTTGTCCTTTCATGAAACACAGAATCATAGAGTTATAGAAAGATTTTGGCTGGAAGGCACCTTTACAGGTCACTTAGTCCAACCCTCCTGCAATGACCAGGGACATCTTCAGCTAGCTCAGATTGCTCCAATACCCATCCAACCTGACCTTGAATATATCTGAGTTTGGGGTATCCACCACTTCTCTGACCAGCCTGCTCCAGAATTTGCCACCCTCATCACATGAGGCATGCATGTGTACTTGTGTTGGCAATGCGAGTCACGAAGTGAGCTGGCATTGCTGCCCATGCTTGAACAGCTGCATGAAAACAGCTGTCAGCCCTGACCTCAGCGCCGTTCCAAAGAGTGGTAAGAGGCAGACTCTAGAGTTCCTCACCTGAATCACCACTGCAAACCCCTTACTAACATTCTTTCATCTGACACCGAGGTGACTCCTGCAGCAGCTCATTTTGCAAAGGCGTAAGTGATATTCAAAGCAGGTTGCCATCCAAATGATGGGAACGGGACATCCAGGGCAGTCAGGATTAGATAACATGTTAAGACTTCAAGCACTTCCCTAGTGGCCACAAACCCCGTACAAGGATGCTTTACCTGACACCATCTCGCCTCCGTAGCCCTGCCTGATGAGGGAGAAGACCACCTTTTGCTGGAATGCACAGTCAATGCAGGCTTGCACTGCTTGCTGCAGGGCCGCCGACGGCCGCTCCGGGCCAAAGTGCTCTGGCAGCTGCTGCACCTTTTTTCTGTCAAGGTACGGCCCCAGGTTCGCTTGTTTGTTGACATAAATGCAGACTGTAGACATAAAATCCCAACAAGGTTATTACAAAACAGGCCTGGGAGCATCCTAGGAAATGCTAGCATTCTACATTCCTATTCATTTCCCAAGTTCTTCCTTCACTGGTGAATTGTTGCCATTTGTGATGGCAGAGCCAGTCTCCCTTGTGCTAATGACCCATTGCCAGGGCAAAGCAAGCCAAGTTTAGGTCTAGCTCAGTGTCACAGGCTACACACATCTAAAAAAGCTCCTATATGTGCCTAGGGCCTGCTGTCTTGAGTCTACCTTGTCCGTACAACTTGTGACCAGAAAAAAATGTTTTGGGAGTGCAGAACAGTGACTAGCAGCGTTGACTTCACAGCAAGGAGGGAATGCCAGCCTGAGGTGTGTTTTCAGATTATTTTTTTTTTCCTTTGTTTTTAGCCTGGTTCATTGAGAGTTGCTGTGAGAAGCACTGCTCTGAGATGACTTTTGGAAAGCCTTTGGATCCTTGCTTCTTCTAACTCAGCTGTAATTTCTGGAGGGTTATGCTGCACAGTGCCATGGCAGGAATCTGGTCTTTGGGAGCTTCCTAACCCTCCATGTCCAACCTAACACTCTACAAACTGCATCAAGTTGAGGGAAACTTGTGCGTGGTGTGCAGTGCTATATTTTGGGACTGCAACAATGTGACTGTGCTGCACAGGGGTCTGTGAGGGAGTCTGCCCTAGCCCCTCCACAGCTAAACCCTCCATGCCTCTTCTCATAAGCTGCAAAGGTAGTTTTTCTACATGCCATCAGACCTGCCAGCAATAGCCCAAAAAATGAGTGTTCTCCTCACTACCATGAACTTATTTTAAGCTTGGCTGAGGCTAACTGCATCTCAGGGGAAGCAGGGATAGCGCTGGGTAACTAAGGGCGACTAAGACACAGCCTAAAGTCAGGCTAAAGTGAGACATATTATAATAGCTGGCTGAGTGTGCTCAAGCTGTCATCTCTCAAACAATATAACATTATCTTCTGACAGAAATCAGATATGTGACAAAAAAACCCCATCAAGCAGAGTGGAGGACATGATGACAGCTGTGTAAAGTTGGAAATAATTTACAGTTTGCATCACCATAATGAAAATCTAGTGCAACTGTCACAGTGCACTCTGCTCCCCCACCTTGCAGGGACCAGCAGAAGGGGCTCAAGCAGTACATCTAGGGTAAACAGGAGGATAATAACAATCATACTTATCATTACACCACTTCACACCTTCCAAGTGCCAGACAAACAAAGTGATAGTGCACTGAAAATACAGCAGCAGTATGCAGGAATTGTAGGGGGATGTCAGAATGCAGCTTTCCCAAGTGCCACACCTTAACAAATCTGCAGAATGCAGCTTCTGCATGACAATCCACTGGTTTTGTCGGGGCTCAGCTGTGGGGGGCACTCTGCAGCTTGCTGAGTCCCCCACTGCAGAGCCAGGGTCCCTACAGTCCTTCTGAAGCAGAGAGAGAGCTAAAAGCTGACTTGAGCTTCCCTTCACCTCCTGCCAGCCCCTCTCTGGTGGGAACATGCACTGCTGGGAGGGTGCTGGGAGGAAAGGTGCCAGTGGCATGAGGATGGGCAGACAGAAGTGTGGGGCATTGCCAGAAATGACCCATGCAGTCCCTGCTTTTGCAGCCACCCTGGTGATCTGGCAGGGCTGGTGGACTGTGCCTCCCTGTCCCACTCCAAAAGCAGCCCTGGGCACAACCTCTCAGGACTCTTCCATCCACTCAGCTGGTGTTTGCCAAGTGCTTTGCAGACTTTGTGTGTGAAGGGATAAACAAGAATAAAATATATTATTGTCATTGTTGCTGGGTTTAGTATCATTCTGCCACCAGAGCAGATGGAAAACTTCTCCTCTGTGCATCCCAGCTAAGAAATAATGGGATTTGTGTGTTGTGTTTAGATTCTAATGTTATCTAATCCATTTCTCTGCTGAAATCTGAGGGTAAATCAGCTGTCTTGTTGATTTTCTTCTCATTTACATCAGTCTAAAAGTCTTGACCTATGTTACTTCTGGTAATATAAACAAAAAGAAGGGTAAGCCTGTGTTTTCTGACTACATTTGCAAATGACCATGCCTGCTGCTGTGATAAGGCACTGGGGTTTTTGTGCTGGTAGCCCTGCCTACAGTCAGACCATGGCTCCTCCGTTCTTCTCCCCCCCAGCTGTAACAGATGCTTCATGTTCACACAGGGATTTAGGTTGGTCATTGCAACATATTAGATGGGGTGAAAATGTTAGGTATAAAATGGAACATTCATGGGGTTTTGATGTTCACATTTCAAGAGCAATGGGACTGATATCTCCACTAAACTCAACACATGGCAGTCAAAATACAGTCTTGCAGGATAACTCTGCTCCTTGTCACTGGTTGTTAGACTATCTGGAAACACCCCATTTCCATGAGCTACCCCATTTCCGGAAAGCCCAGCATCTGGCTGTGACATCTGGCTGTCAGCCTGTGGCTCCTGCTCACCCCTTGGTCAAGGAGCACTTGAGACTGAGTACCTGTGAGAGCCTGTGGGGTGTCCGAGTTGGGTACCGTAGCTGCATCCTGGGGGATTGAGCTAATATCCGGCTCCGGCGTGCTTCTTGGTGGAGAGATTGCTAAAGGAGTCATCAGGACACGAGATTTCAGCTGCAAAAAATAATGAAAGTATACACAAGATATTCCAATTTTATTCTATGTATGTCACGCCCCATGAACTCCCTCTCATTAGCAATCTGCTATTGCATCACTTTCTCCAGGCCAGAAGATCCATCCTGATCCCAGGAGGATACTGGAGCCTGAAGTCTGACTGATTTGCTGCAGACAGCAACGCCTTAAGCTACAGGATGCAAATATTATGCCACCCACTGGGTAGTTATTTACACCTGAGCAAATTGAGCCTAACACTCCAACAAATCAGTGCAATGGCATTTTACAACCCATTCATGTGGGTGTAAACAATGCTTCACAACTCAGAAGCATGGGGTCTTTAACTGCATCATAATTTAGGGCCCAATTCTGCTCTCGGTTGCAGGGCTGTAAATCTTGTATAAATCCAGTGGCACCAAGAGGCTACTCTGGGCTGACACCCATGTAAATAAGCTCACACTGTGGTCCAGGTTTATTATTACCAGCTAGTAAATACAAACTGCTGCACTGTTGCACCAGTGATCTTTGCGACCTGCAGCCCAGCTTGGAGAAGAGAAGCATGATGTGAATTTACGGTGCAATATCAGAATGTCTTTATACTGCTGGTACCTGGCAACACCTCACCAGTCAAATGATGATCAGGTCCTCCTATTTAAAAAGGACCAATGTGATGGATGTGACCTGAAGGTACCATTCTTGCTTTTCCTTTTGCTAAGAAGAGAAGTAGGGGGAAAGCAGAAAGCCAACCACACAGCTTGCTGGTTTATATATTTACATATCCTACACCAAAATGCTCTTCTGACAAGTATTTATTTCCTTTCGTTGTTTTTCAGTGGACAATGTACAAAGTATATTTTAGGTAGAAATGAAGTCAGACCAACTGCCTACAAACCAAACCTTGAGCAATCCCTGATGGAGAGTAGAAGTTGTTTTGGAATAAGATTTTTGTTGTCCATGACTATGAACTACAAATGTCTAAAATAATTGTCACTGTTTCAGCATACTGGTAAAACTGAAAAGCTGGGCAAAGGGAAGGGAAGTATGTAGGACTTAGGGACATCTAAGGGACTTCTACCTCCCCTGAGGCAGTGAGTTTTTACCTCTCCCTTTTGTTTGCAGTCTGAAAGAGGGAAAAAAAAACAGTAAGTGCTTCTGAGACAAGCTGTGGATTTGACCTCCTGCTGTATGGCAGTTGTAGAGCATGAGGGACCCTGAGCTGGCCCCTGGTTAGTGCCATTTCTCACTTGCCTTCGTTATCCTGTTTTTGTAGAGTTGTACTGCCTTCAGATTGGGATCAAGAATGACCAGCAACTAAGTATTGTCAGTTTGTTTCCACAGAATCACTGACTATGCTGAGTTGGAAAGGACTCACAAGGATCATCAAGGCCCTGCACAGGACCATCCCCAAGAGTGACACCCTGTGCCTGAGAGCATTGTCCAAATCCTTTTGAACTCTGTCAGGCTTGGTGCTGTGACAGCTTCCCTGGGGAGCCTGTTCCAGTGCCCAACCACCCTCTGGGTGAAGAACCTTTTCCTAATATCAAACCTAACTCTTCTCTGACACAACTTCAGGCTATTCCCTCAGGTCCTGTTGCTGCTCGCCACAGAGAAGAGATCAGTATTCTCCCCTCCTCTTCCTCTCATGAGGAAGTTGCAGACTTAATGAAGTCTCCCTTCAGTCTCCTCCAGGCTGAACAGACCAAGTAACCTCAGCCACTCCTCATACGGCTTCCCCTCAAGGCCCTTCATCATCTTCATTGTCCTCCTTTAGATGCTCTCGAATAGTTTAATATCTTTCTATATTGTGGACCCCAAAACTGCCCCCAGCACTTGAGATGAGTCCACCCCAGTGCAGAGCAGAGCAGGACAATCCCCCTTTCCCAGCTGGCGATGCTGTGCCTGGTGCCCCCAGGACACCACTGGCCCTCCTGGCTGCCAGGGCACTGCTGGCTCATGTTCCACTTGCCGCTGACCAGGACCCTCAGGTCCCTTTCCAAATATAGCATCTACACCTCCCCTAGCACAACTTGAGTCTACTTCCCTTTTCCCTGTTGCTGGTTGTCAGGGAGAAGAGACCAACCCCACTGGGCTACACCCTCCTGTCAGGTGGCTGTAGAGATTGAAAAGGTTTCCCCCAAACCTCCTTTTCTACAGGCTAAACAACAGCATCTCCCTCAACTGCTCCTCATAAGAGTCCTCCAGACTCTTCACTGGCTTTGTTGTCCTTCTCTACAGGTTCTAGCAATGCTTGTATGCTCTCACTCTTACATTTCTCTATATAGATATTATTTTTGAGACAGTACACCTGACACATTCTGCTTCATTTGCATGTTGTCTCCTTAATATCCTTACTGGCTCACATTCCTGGGGTCCCAAACAGAGCCACAAAAGTCCCATCTTCAACCCCTGAGCCTCATGAGTGTGTGCTGCCCCACCAACACTGTGCAGTGCCTCACCAGCATCATCAGACATTTTCCCCTCCTGGATCTTGGAGGCCCAGGCAGACTTATTCTCAAGAGTGAAGAAACAGAGGGCAATGCTTGTATAAACTCTGTAGAGAGGAAGCCTCTTTCTTTGTTTGTGGAACCCCCCCTGTTTTTAGTGAACAATTTACTGCAAAATTAATTGCAATAAAATGTGCTCTACAGTCTCTGGGTACAGATAAATGTCGTTTTATTAGGGGTAGTAGAGAACTGGCCTTTGTTAGATCAAACTAAAACAGTACGCTAAACAAACAACAGCTTAGTTACCTCCTGGTCACTGAAACCTTGAGTAGGCCCTGAATATAACGAAGGGTAAATCTTAAAGTATTCCATTTAAAGATGTCTTTTCTTGGACTGAGTCTTCTCTACCGAAAAGCCAATTCAACTAACCAGCTGACTGACTGAGAGCTTGCCAGTAGAAAGCACATATGTGTGGGAATCAAAAAAAGCAGTGAAGAAGAAAGAAAGAGAAAGAAAAAAAGAGACAGAGGAAATCTGTCAGAACACATTGGGAAATCCTTGTGGTAAGGCATTGGAATCATCTTTTGAATATCAAATGTCGTGAGTTTTAATATGCACAGCATGAGATGTAAAAGTGGTTGCTCTAAAACAAGATCTACAACCAACCTCCCACTCTTATGGACTTTCTACCATGGAATTGAGATCAGAGACAGCTGATCAGGGATTTTGGGTAGGAAATAAGTGTATCTACTTTATCAAATTCACCATGCATTAGATGCAGAGAGAATGGGCTTTTGTACTATTGATGCTGGCTACAAGTTTGTGGCTGGGGATGGGGAGGACTCTGCTAAGTCCTGGAGTTTTTATTACAATCTGCACACCTTCTCAGAGAAGTCAGTATTCATCTAACTGGTATTTATGTCATCCCCCACCAAAAAAATGAAAGAGGGTGAAGAACATTTGCCAGGCAACTTTTTTTTTCTTTCTGAAGATCTCTGCAGACTTGTATAATAAAATACACGGGAAAGTAACACAATGAACCACAATACAATCTTTCCCTGCAGTTCTCTTATACCACTTAGATGCAGGTTCTCATTTTTATCATTCCCTTCCCTTGTACCAGTGTCCCTTGTCCTGAAAAAAACAATTGCTTGAAAAGGCTGGGATTCACCCCATCCTCATGGACCTTTGTTCTTCCAGACAGGAGGGCAGGGGCACCTCCTGGCAATGAGAGCTTTTGCTGCCAGAGAGAGAACCATCTCCAGCCCCTGCAAGTGTGCACTAAGGTGAGCGTCTGAGCCAGCCTGGTCCTGCCATGTGGACTTCTGATGGCTGGACAGGGAAGCACAGAGCTTCTGAGCCCATGTGTTGGGGTCTGTGGCTCTGTGCATTTGGCTGTGAGTGAAGAGACTCAGGATAATGCAAGCCCAGTCACTGAGGGTGAGAGGGGAGGTCAGCTGGCAAAGGCAAACACAGTCCAAGGTCTTTCCCACCTTTTCTTCTTGTGTTGTGTGATAACTTTCTTCTGCACAGCAAATGAGGCAAGCCAGTCTGCACACAGCCTCCTACATCCCATCAGCATTTCACAGTGAATGAGGCAGGTAACCTTGACAGGAGCATATACAACCTTGAAATCCAAGGCTGTATCATAGGACAGGTGAATGAACAGGACGCTTTAAGGCTGTCTGTGCAATCTCATTCCCAATGTGTCCAAAGCCTGATTGCTTATTTGTCATCATTAATACTGACTTCTAGGGCAGCAGGGTAACCTATGGCCCATAATGGAAACTGTCACTCCACACGTGTGACTCTCGCTGCTCACCCCACCTGATCTGGGGCCACTTCCCCAGCTGGGAGCTGCACTGGTTGCACAGAGGGACAAATTGCCCTCAAGCTGCTCAAAGGGTGCTACGGCTTTGTTGCCCTCTGGGAGGGACATGATGGTCTGTGCTGCAGTGCTGCCCTGTGGGTCTCAGATTCAGTCAAAGAAAGAAACTGAGAATTTCTAGCCAGGCAAAAGCCTGGAAAAGAGCTGGAGAAGAATGTAAATAATTCTTTACCTCTCTTGTTTTTCACATTGTTTATAGTTCAGTTCTATCACTGTGCATCAAACACTTTGCACCAATGGTGTAGATTGTTTTCACTTCAAAACCAATAAAGTTAGTCCTCACAAAGCTCTATATAAAAGGGCAATATATTTTGAATAAATCGGAGTTTTACTCTCACAACCTTCTAAGTCCAATCTCTTCATTCCCGTCCTACCTCAACAGCAACACTGTCCCATGCACACGTCCCTCCGATGTCCTCTAACAGGGCGAATCCCTGCAGGGTGCTAACAAACCCTTCCCTTGTACAGGCTTTCCAGGCAGCTCTTCAGGGCTGGTCTCACTCACAGCCAGAGAAATAAAACCCAGCCATCGACTAACCTCCCCCCAGCCTGCCAGAATAGGCTTTTTCCCAGAGATTTAGACAATCAGAAAGGATATTGTATTTTGGGGAAATGTAACATTTTATGGCAAATAGCTCCACATAAGGTACAAAACAGTTTTTGGAAAAACAGCTGATGAAATTTTATAGCCAAAGCTGTGAGAAAATAAACAGGATAGCAAGGAAAAGACTTTTCTTGGTGATGAAGTGTGATGAAATGTCATTTCAGGAAGACACAGACATTTGCTTTAATATCAATGAAAACAGGCAATGGGTCACCTGTCTATAAAGAGCATGTGATTGAAAATGTCTGTTATTCACATCTTGGTCAAAATAAATTTAAATCTAGGCTGTAAATTCCTAGTTTCTTAAAAATTCAGAAGTATTTTTCCATCTGTTCTGTAACAATTCAGCTCTCTGGCTGCTATAAAGAATTTGGTTGTCTGCCATTTGGGCAGGGAGTAATTTTTTAAAATTCATTTAAGTCTTGTGGTATCTGAAACTCATACAATTACCAAGCTAATTAAATCAAGCTAGAGTTCCCCATCAAAAACTGTAATTTTTGACTCACGCTGGGGAAGTGCTTTGGATGGAGTGGGGCTCACTTCAGCTGAGCACACAGCATACAAAGGCGCCTCAGGGAAAACATTGCTTCAGTGTTCGAGTTCTACAGCACAAATCAACCAGGCCAGATGCCATGGGTGCTGCAGCTCATCAGTGTCAGCTCCATCCACCTAAGCCATTGGTTACAAAAGGATGCCTTTTTATGTGCCACACTTGCCAAGAAAGAACCTCATCCCAGATTCACTGCCGATGGAAGGATGCTATTGCCACCTCGCTAAGTGCCAGGGGACAAAGAGGAGGAGTGTGTGGTACCCAGCCAGGGATAACGTGTCCCTTCGGAAGAAGTGGGGGACACAGCAATCAAATGCTCGGCCACATAGGTCCAAAGCACAGTGTTACTGCAGCATTTCCAGGAAGTTAGGTCTACCACTTCTCCCATTTATGTATGTGTGGTGATTAGCAAAAGATTTTTTCCCAGGTGGAAGGGGAATTTGTAATAGAACGAAACATATTTTCCAGCATTTTTCTTTTGGTCAAATTACAAATCAAATGTAAATGCATGAGCAAGAAGTGGGGGTCACCAAGACAAGCAGGGACAGAAGGGACAGGGTCTGAAAAACCCTGCATACATAGTCATTGTGGTATTTGGCAAATCATTCAATCTCAAACCTCAAAGAACCAATTTAGCACATCTCCAGAGTATTATTGTCCAGACTGGATGGTTTTGATCTGAAGAGTCTACAAGTCACCCAGCTAAATTGAAATAGATAAATATAATAAATAATAAACTTGAAATAAGAAATACCTCAAGAAAAGCAATTCAGATGTTTTCATCCTGGAGTTTTATCCTGATATGGAAGTGAAAAAATAAAAAGTATTTCTATATCCCACATTTTACAAAACACTTGAATATTTGCCTCAGTCTTAGCTTGGAGCTCTGT